ACACAGGCAAGGGGCCACCCCCAGGCAGCAGGCCTCCCTGGCCACCGCCCTCCCATGCTCAGCTTTCAGCCCTCAGAACTCCCTCTATCCACCCCATCCGGGCAGCTTCCCAGGACCACGCCAGCTTCAGCCATCCTTCTCTGTGGCCAGCCTCTAAGCACTCTGCGTGTCGCTGTCTATCGCCAGAGTCCCAGGCTCTGAAGTCAAAGCGCATTGGTTTTGGACTCCGGAGTCTCCCCATTTACCTGCTGTGCAACCTGGGAAAGTTACTTAACCTCTCTGAGCCTTGGGTCTCTGTGTTAAGCAAGGACAGCGAACGATGGCACTGCTCACAGAGTTGTGAAGACAGTGCAATGACCCCGGGTTTGGGAAAGGCCAAGAAGAGAAACTTCTCGAATGCTGGGTCCCTGCCACGCACGTGGGAGACCCAGGTTGAGTTCCAGGCTCATGGCTTTGGCTTGGCCCAGGCCTGGCTGTTGCAGGCACTAGGGGATTAGGGGAGGAAATGAGTGGATGAGAGCTCCCTGTCTATTGGTCTTTGTCTCTCTGCCTTTCAAATAAAAACAAGAAGAGAGGCTGGCACCAAGCAGGCACTCAGGAAATGCAGGTCCCTTCCCGCCCTCTCTCTGACTTCCTCTTCCCGTTCCTGAGAAAGGAAGCGAGGGAAGAGGAGGCAGAAGGCAGCCCCAGGCGCCACGAGCTCGGGCCGTCTTCTCTACGACAGGAGGCCACTAGGTGGCCGTGGACCTACTCGTCCACTCACTCGCCCGCTCATTCATCGCACTTCCATTCTGCACAGCGCATCCCCGGCTAGTACCTAGCACGGCGCCTGGCACAGAGAGGGCCTTGGAAAAATCCCTTGTTGTCTACCCCTCCCTGCCCCAAGAGAGCACCCAACCCTGGCTGGCACCAGGTGCCCTGCCCCCTCCCTCATCGCAGCCCGAAACCAGAGCTGGCGCCACTGGGTGAGGAATCTGGGGACCAACTGTCACGGCTCCAGTATCACTCGCCTCCTGGATGCCTGGGTCCAGCCCTGGGTCCCACAGAGGCCTTGTCAGCCAGCTGTCCTGGGGGGCCCCCCGGGGCCCCGCCCTCACCCCTTCTTAGCTACTGTCTCCAGGGAGATCAGACAGTGCAGGGGACCTGGGAGGGGGAGTGCCGGGTCCTCCCAAGGGAAAAGCGGAGCTGTTTGTCTGTCCTGGTCCAAACCCGAGGCCGGGCCTGCAAGGCCCTGGGAGAGCAGGTGCACAACAGCAGACCCGGGCGACCTCCTGTCTCCTCCAGCCTCCCCACCCAACCCCACCCCCGGCCCCCAAGGCCTGTTTTGCCCTCACATTTAATCCTGCCCAGCCATGCCGTCTGGGTCACGTAGGCTGGTTTCTGTGTGTCACGGAGGGCAGGGATCAAGTCAGACAGTTTTCTCGTGAGGCCTACAGAATTTTACCCAATAGATCCTCCTTGGTTTAAATCAGCGAGGAGCTGAGTGTGTTCCAGCAAGAACGCGAAGCTGGCTGCACCCTCAGCAGGGCGGTTATACAGCAGTTCTATAGCAAGGCGGAACTCCCACCAGGAAGGGGTGTTAAGAAAAGAAGGTGGAGGGCTGGCGCCACGGCTCACCGGGTTCTAGTCCCGGTCGGGGCGCCGGATTCTGTCCCGGTTGCTCCTCTTCCAGTCCAGCTCTCTGCTGTGGCCCAGGAAGGCAGTGGAGGATGGCCCAGGTGTTTGGGCCCTGTATCCGCATGGGAGACCAGGGAAAGGCTCCTGGCTCCTGCCATCGGATCAGCGCGTAGCGGCCATTTGGGAGGTGAACCAACAGAAGGAAGACCTTTCTCTCTTCTGTCTCTCTCTCTCTCTCACTGAAAAGAAGGTGAAGACCCCCACAAAGCCGGGAGGGGGAGGTCCAGGACAGCGGGCACTATCCCTTGTGGGGACGGCCTCCCACTCCCGCCTACCCTAGGGCCTTTGAGAATGAGGCTGGGGGGATACCCCAGTCCCTGGGACCTGCAGGGCTTACACAACGCTAACAGGTGCTCAGGGCTGCTCACAGGGGAGCCCAAGCACTGGGGGCGACTCACGGCTCCTGTCCCCTGGCCTCCACAGGCCCACGTGGGCGCACAGAGACACAGCCCCAGCTGACGGCCCTTCCACAAGCGTGTGAAAAGATCAGCTTATTTTTTGGTGCAAAAGTTTTGAAATGCACACACACTCTTTTCATACTACGCATTTGCTATGAACTTTCTGAAGACTCCTCACAGGCACGGGCTTCCAAATTGTCTGCACCAAAACACAGCTTACCTTTCCCCCATGAACTTCCACCTTTCCGTTCCATTCTCTGAGGTGTGAAGCCAGGTGTGTGTGTGTGTGTATGTGTGTGTGTGTCTTCAGAGATAGACAGGGTTCACCTGTGGCCCCGTGCAGAACGGGTTATTTTTGGAATCACCTGCAGTTTGTTTGGGATGATCTATTTCAGCAGGTCTAGGCCTAGAATTGACTCATGATGGCTCAGCACCTCCCAGTGCCTGGCACACCCTGAGAACTCCCTGGGATGTGGTTGGCTTGACTCAAAGACTGAATGACTGAACACCATCTGGCTAAAGCCACTGCCAGGAAACCAGCTCCAGCTGAACCCCGGCCGTGAGCCAGGCCCGGTGCTAGGGACTGGGTGTATTATTCCCATCTTCTGGATGAGGTCACTGAGGCCCAGCAGCAGTAAATGGGGCTCCTGCCTCCCTGACCACGAAGCTTTGAAAATGCAGTTACAGCCCAGGTGGGGCTTTGCGCAGGGCGCTGGGTGGCCAGGGCGGGGGACAGGGATCCAGCTCAGAGCTGTGGTCCCCGAGAGGCCAGCTCTGCCACCTGCACACCCTCCCGGGGAACAGGAGCGCTGGTTCCGGCCTTCGGCTCTCACTGCCCCAATTCAGGACTGGGTGGCTGTAGACAGAAGCCCAGGAGGGGGTGAGGGCGCTGTCCCTAGACCAAGAGGGCCATCAGCCTCAGGGCAGAGCGGAAGATGGCCTGCTACCCCGTGGCTAGGCCTCGGCCTGCCCCTCCCAGGTTCAGCAGCGGCCCCCTTCCTGCACACTGGCTCCTGCCCTTTGTTTTCCTCCACGGCCAAATCCCCACGGCTTCTTTGGTCATTAACCTCCCGCTTTAATTAGCTTACTTTGGGGGAGGAAAGCAGAGGCAGGGCAGAGGCCAGGGGTGGGTGTCCACGTGGAGGGGAGAGGGAGGCTCCATCCAGCTGCTGGTGGCCCCCAACAAGGCCTGCTGCACAGGAAGTCCCAGGCCACTCGCTGCTGTTTCCAGTCATGGGAAAAGTCACCTGGTGCACAAAGTGGGGGCTTCCCCAGTGTGGGGGGTCAGCAGGTTCCTCCAATCCAGGCTCCTGGAGCAAACAGTGCACCCCCACCCCCACCCCACGCTTTCTTGCTCCACGGGGCAGCACCCAGTCCCATTGCAAGGTTTGTGGTTAATCTTAGGTTAAATCTCCGATCCAGGGGGCCAGCTCCCCCACTCCGGGTTGAGGCTCTCTGGCCCCTGGAAAGAGCAAGAGTGCTACAATGTGCCAACCCCTACCCCCCCGCTTAGATCCCCAGTTCAGGCGCCCCTTGTGCAAATTCACTCTTTCCAAGAATCAATTTAGGGAACTGGGTTGAACAGCTCAGCCCTCCTGGCCTCCCAGCGCCACATCTATGAGGTCATCTCATCCGTTCCCCTGCCTCCAAGCAAGACTTTTAATTTCACAAGCGGGGAATTTTCGGTTTCCAAGGCACTCCGTAAAAAGGACACCTTCCCCACTGTGGTTCACCTACCCATTCTCCTAAAACTGCTCTGGGAAGTTCTTCCTAAGATCTGACCCCAAGCTCTCCAGCTGCAGTGACCATCTTTCCACTGGGAAATGCCCAGGCCTAAGGAAGATGACAAAGGCAAGGCTGAACGTTCGGGGTAAGGCGGGAAGACAAGACCGCATCACACAGCAGCTTCCCCGGAATCCCAGCTGGCCGATTCGAGCCTTACAACTTCTCTCACCGTAACCGAATTTCCAGAGTCAGAGGGGCCGGGCCGAGTTCTCGGCAGAGAGACGGGCGAAGCCGAGTGCAATGCCGGCCGGGGCTAAGAATCAAGGAACCCCCAAACTGTATGCTTGGCCCACGCCTGGAGGGAACCAGGCTCTGCTCCCCGCTTCCGTCCCACCCAAAACTCAGAGCCCTCACCCCAAGCCCGTCAGGCCGTACACACACTTCTCCCGCCGCCGCCCGCTCGGAGCCCCCCACGCTCTCCCTCCGCGCCCCCTCCAGCGCCCGCCAGGACGGGAACTAACTCACCTCCCAGCCGGCGCCTCTGAGATCTCCGAGACTGGGGGCGGGGTGGGGGGAGGGGAGCCGGCTCGCGGCGTAGGGGCGAGGGGACCCCGTCCCTTGCCCCGCGCTCCCCCCATCGCGGCTGCGGCTTTGTCTGCTCTGCCTAGAGCCGCTCCCTGCGGCCCGAAGCGGGGATCCACTCGGCGGGAGCGGGAGGGGGAGCGGCGAGGGAGCGCGGCGGGAGGGGGCGCGGGAGAGGTACCGCCGCAGTGACCGCGGCGGGGCCCGCTCCCCGCCCCCTGCCCTCTCATTACCATAAGAAAGAGGGCCCTGCACCGGGCCGGCTCGGGTGGGAGAGGGTCTCGGGGTGGGGTGCGGGGGGGCGCGCTGCAGGAGCCGTTTTTCAAACGCCTTCCGTTCCTGCACACTGTCCCCTGTCCCCGAACCGGCCCCTTACAAAGATTAGGGACCTCGACTCCCACCCCCACCCCCACCTCCCCCGCGTAGCCTCGGAGCCGCGCGTAGGGACCGAAGGGCACAGCCCCATCCTCCTCGGGTCAAGGAATTCGTCCCCGCGCCCCCGAGGGCGGGAAACTACAACTCCCGGCATGCCCCGGGCGCCCCCGGCGCGCCCCCCTCCCGTCAGTTCCATGCTGCTCCATCCAGTTCATTTAAAACAAAAGAGTTTGAGCGCTGGAAGGGGCTGGGCTCTATTGGGGGCCACTGAGCGCCGCTCCAGGACTGGGGCCCGGTGCGGGAGCCCGAGGGGGGCGTCTGGACGGCGGAGGCTAGAGGCTCCCGGGTCCGAGGCGGGAGGGGTGGGGGCAGAGATCCCGCAGCCCCCCGCCCCCCGTCACCCCCGGAGAGGAGAGGAGATCTGCTTTCTTGGTTTTTGCTTCTCTTTCCCCCCACCCCCACCCCGGGGGCTGGGGCAAGGGGAGTCGGGTTACAGGGTGTTTGGGGAGGGGGGCTTAGGGGGAGGGTCTATCTTTCCATCTCGCTTTCTTCCCCCCTCCCCAGTTCTTTGTTCCCCCTCCCCACACACCCCCTCCTCTCCTCTCCCCTCCCCTCCTCGCTTCTCTTTTCCCTTCCACCACCTCTCTCTCTCCCTCTCTCCCTCTCTCCCCCAGCTTTTGTTTCGCCATGCCTAGTCTAGTGGTATCTGGAATAATGGAAAGAAATGGGGGCTTTGGAGAACTAGGATGTTTCGGGGGAAGCGCTAAGGACCGAGGGCTGCTGGAGGACGAGCGCGCCCTTAGCCATTGCAGTAGGATTTAATCTGCCTCCTGGGTTTCGGTGAGGGCTACGCCTCCCCTAGCGGTCGTCTCGAGGATAGGCGAGTGGGTAGGAGGCCCCTGTCACCTCTGCCGCCTCCCTGCAGCTGGTCACCACATCTATCGCCTTTGTCACCACCGGCCATCCCTGTTTTGGGCCATTTAGCGAATTCGCTCCAACCCCCCACCGCCCCCAAAGGGGCGAGCGACGCCAAGCTCTGCGCTCTCTACAAAGAGGCCGAGCTGCGCCTGAAGGGCAGCAGCAACACCACGGAGTGTGTACCCGTGCCCACCTCTGAGCACGTGGCCGAGATCGTGGGCAGGCAAGGTAAGCTGGCGCCGGGACCCCGGAGAGGGACCGAGGCGGGGGGGCACGCGGCCCCAGCGCGGAAAGTTCATTTCTCCCCTGCTTGGCCCGCCTCTGACTCGGTCCCTTCCCCACAAAGGGGGACCCGCCCCCTACCCTGATTTCCAAGTGCCACAAAGTTCCCCGCTAGCCCCAGTCGGGACGCTTCTTCAGGTCTCCCTCCCCCAGGGCTCTGCCCTTAGACAAAGAAATATCCTCGCCCTGGGAGAGGGAAAGGGGAGGGGGACTGGTTTCCCAATCCAGGGAGGCTGTCCGGAGGGGGTGTCCACTCCTGGCCGTACAGAAAACGCTCGGAATGTGCAGAGATACCGGGAAGCCCCTACTCTGGTATCTGCTGGTAGGTTGGGGAGGGGGCACCCCTGGGACCCCCCCACAACCCAGTCACCCGGAGTTACAGACTTTGAGGGGAGACCTGGCCCGGGGAAGCCGGACTGAGTATCTGTCTCTTTGTTGGGCTGAGTGTAGGAATGGAAGGGGGTGTGGCTCAGGGGAGGGTCCCAGCCTGGGAGAGAAGCGGAGAGGGGGACCGCTGGGAAGAGGGGTTCCCTGGTTACCCAACACCAAAGTTACACGATCTGTAGGGTTCTGGAAGGGGTGTCTCCAAGGAAGTGCCGCGTCCTGCCCTGGACCTCTCCTCCTCCCTCTCTGGCTTTTGTTCTGGGCTGGCCGCGGCCTGGGGCCCAGAGGCCTGGAGAGGGGTCTCTGGCCGTGAGAGAGTAGGACAGGGCCGAGGGGGCTAGGCTGAGGGGGCGAGAACCCTTCACCTGGAAATTTGGTGGAGAGCGTGTGTCTGGATGTGTGGGGTGGATGTAGAATTCATCCAGCGTAGTGTGTCTGATACCACACCCTCCTCAGCGCCAGCATCCCTGGGTGGGCGGGTGGGTGGGTGGGGGTGTTGGTGAGGGTCCAAGTCGAGCAGACAGGATCTTGGGGACCCTTCCCTCTTCTGCTTCCCAAAGGGGCGTGGGGGCGGGATTTGGAAATTGTGAAGGGGCTGGGCTGGGGAGGTGTGGGGTGGGGGAGGAGCAGGGGAGGAGCTGTCCCACAGTGGGGAACAATAGAGGAGCTGCATTCCGGCTGGGAGTGAGGGAGGAGGCCGGCTCCCCGTGGAGGAAATCGGAGGCGGGCCAGGGGGGCCCCTGCTCCACATCCCACCTCTTCCACTGGGAGCGCTGGGGCTTAGGGGGATTTCTCCGGGAGAGCCAGACCGGAGGAGGGGAGATGCCACTCCCCGGCACAGCCCACCCCCCACCCCCCGTCCCCCTGGGGCGCTCCATCTCCTGAGATGGACGATTTAGAAAGTTGGGTTTCCTCTTGTTGGCGGAAACTGGGGGATCCGGAGCCCTGGAATTGGGTGGGGACGCTGGTGTCTCTTCTTGGGTGTGGGGGTGTCTTGGGAGGCCCGGGGATTTCATGGAGTCATTCTCTGCTCTGCTGCCTCCGCATCAGATGGGCCTGTCCCCGTAAGAGTGGGGGGCTTTCTCCCACTCAGAGGAGAGGAGCGGGCCCCCTGGTTCCTTAAGTAAAGGAAAGTCCTCCCGATCTCACCCCCTCCTGCTGCCGCCAGGCTGCTGCTCCTCTATTTGACCTCTAAGAAGGTGAAGCCCAGTGGGGTCTGAACCCAGGGCCAGGCCCACCCCAGTGCCTTTCTCCTTAGTCTCACACCCTGGCCTGTCCTCGTCACCGCGACCCCAACCCCAGAGGCAGAGTGCCCCCACTGAAGTTCATGCACCCCAAACTTAGCGCCAGAGCCCTGGTGCCCTGCAGACCACATGCGAGTAGAGTGGACTTCAGCACTCCCCACCCTGCACACCTCTTAACTGTTACCACCACCGACTGCCATTTAGGCAGCAAGGATGGGGGCTTGACAACAGGTAGGACTTCCTTGCCAGGAAGCCCCAAGACAAAGGGGGCGGAGCAAATCCTCTTTCCTGAGGTCCACTAAAGGTGGGGAGAGCTGCCCCACCCCCCAACCTGCTGGGGTTGGAGAAGAGGCCATCTGGAGTGCAGGGAGGACAGGACAAGTGACTCAGCTCAGGTCAACGTTGGAGGTGTGGGGCAGAGTGGGAAAAATGGCACCCGGGGTTTGCACAGGTGGTGGGGGTGGCCAGACCGCGAGTGGGGCGTTATGCCTGAGGTGCTGCTACTGGGATGGGGCAAAAGTTGTGGGCGTGTGTAGGAATGCGGGCTGCATGTTCAGTGGATGTTGGAGGTGCGCACGGTCGGCACACGGGGACTCCTGGACCGTGTGAAGGTGTCCACCAGGCTGGCCCCGCAAGCATTGTGAGGATGAAGGCACCTGGTGCCTTGGCCGATCTGAGGTGCCTGTGCGCAAACTCACACACGTGTGGCCGGTGCTTGGAGAGGGTGCACGGCTCCCAGGCTCCAGCAACGATGGCCAGGGAGGGGGAAGGAGGCCAGTCCAGGCAGCCATCGATGGCTGCAGCCCTTGGAGCCCGTGTGGTGCCCCGGCTCTTCTCGCTCTCCTTCTCCCTCTTTGTCTCTCTCTTTGTCTCGCTTTTCTTCTTTCTGTTTCTGCGTCTGTCCCCAGCCTCCCAGCTTGAACCCACTCCTGGTTCAGAGCAGGACTGAGGGTCCAGAAGAGCCTCTGGCTCCTCCTGCCCAGGCCCCAGCTCAGCTCAGCCTTCTTGCTCCCCGAGGACCTAGGGATGGGGGTGACAGGGTTGGGTGCTGTGCCTCACCCATGATTTTATCTTCATACTCCTCCTTCTCCCCTTGAAATTCTTCCCACTCTCCCCTGCTCCACTACTTGCTGCAAACTCCTTATGGATTTGGGGTCGCTGGGAAGGGGGACTACTGGGTGGGAGGCATGGTGGGGGCACGTCATAGATCAGACGCACAGCGCCAGTTCCTGCATTGACCCTTTAATGAACGGATGTCCAATGCCGAGTGGACTGTGAGATTACCAAGTGCACTAGGGTTCACAGGAAAGGTCAGGGGGGTGAAGGTGGGGGAGGGGTAAGTGATTGGAAGTTTGTGAGGAGCTAGGGAATCAAAAGACATTGAGGGAGCAGCAGCGGCATGGGGGTGGGGCACCGGGGAGTTAGTAATAGATTTGAAGCGAGCAGCTTCTCTGGGAGGGTCAGTGATTATTCGGGGGTTTCCAGAAGCGATTGGATTTGGAGGGCTCTGAATAGGACACCAGGGAGAGCAGGTACATTAGGAAATCTGTGGTTGATAGAGACACGGAGTAAACAGCTGAGTGAGCCCCCCCCCCCGCCGCCGCCGCCGCCGCCGCGGGTTGTTGAGTGGGGTTGGGGTGAGGGGAACCGTGTGTGTGGTGGGTCATCCTTTTGAGTTTCTGTCTCTGCACCCCCTCCCCGCCCTAATCCAGGCTGCAAGATTAAGGCTCTGAGGGCCAAGACCAACACCTACATCAAGACGCCGGTGCGGGGCGAGGAGCCAGTGTTCATGGTGACCGGGCGCAGGGAAGACGTGGCCACGGCCCGGCGGGAAATCATCTCAGCAGCTGAGCACTTCTCCATGATCCGCGCCTCGCGCAACAAATCGGGCGCCGCCTTCGGAGTGGCCCCTGCCCTGCCCGGCCAGGTGACCATCCGTGTGCGAGTGCCCTACCGCGTGGTGGGACTGGTGGTGGGCCCCAAGGGGGCGACCATCAAGCGCATCCAGCAGCAGACCAACACGTACATCATCACGCCCAGCCGTGACCGTGACCCAGTGTTCGAGATCACCGGGGCCCCGGGCAACGTGGAGCGCGCGCGCGAGGAGATCGAGACGCACATCGCCGTGCGCACGGGCAAGATCCTCGAGTACAACAACGAGAACGACTTCCTGGCCGGCAGCCCCGACGCGGCACTGGACAGCCGCTACTCAGACGCCTGGCGGGTGCACCCGCCCGGCTGCAAACCCCTGTCCACCTTCCGGCAGAACAGCCTGGGCTGCATTGGCGAGTGCGGAGTGGACTCGGGCTTTGAGGCCCCGCGCCTGGGCGAGCAGAGCGGCGACTTTGGCTACGGCGGCTACCTGTTTCCGGGCTATGGCGTGGGCAAACAGGATGTCTACTATGGCGTGGCCGAGACTAGCCCCCCGCTGTGGGCGGGCCAGGAGAACGCCACGCCCACCTCCGTGCTCTTCTCGTCCTCCTCGTCGTCATCCTCCTCCGCCAAGGCCCGCGCCGGGCCTCCTGGCGCGCACCGCTCCCCCGCCGCCTCCGCAGGACCTGAGCTGGCCGGACTCCCGAGACGCCCGCCCGGAGAGCCGCTCCAGGGTTTCTCCAAGCTTGGGGGCGGCGGCCTGCGGAGCCCAGGCGGCGGGCGGGATTGCATGGTGTGCTTTGAGAGCGAAGTGACTGCCGCCCTGGTGCCCTGCGGACACAACCTGTTCTGCATGGAGTGCGCAGTACGCATCTGCGAGAGGACGGATCCGGAGTGTCCCGTCTGCCACATCACAGCCACGCAAGCCATCCGAATATTCTCTTAAGCCCCCTGCCCTATGCTTCCTGGGCCCACTCTCCGGAGGCCTGTCCTGGACTGTTTTCCTGAAGGGCCTTTGAGAAATCAGTGGAATTTTCGGGACAAGGTGCTTAGAGATGCTCGCGCTCGTTGGGGCGGGGGCGGGGGTGGGGGGAGGGCAAGGGAGGCGGTGGTGGCCAGAGGGTGGGCCACTTTCAGAGCCTCTGGTCACCCTGTCCTGGGAAGACCGGGAGAGGGGCCAGACCGAAAATTTTACTAGAGTTACAACTCTTATACCTCAACACACCCTTAAATCTAGAAGCAGCTGAGAGAAACTTTTTTGTTTGCCAGAGGTAGCCGCTAAGGCGCCCGGACCCCTTCTGCCCACCTCCCCATCGGTGTGTCGCCCTGCTCCTTGCTCGGAGGTGGGGGCGGGGAAAGGGAGAAAGAGGACCACCATCTGCAGCCAGAGGTGCTCTTCCGGGTCCCCCAGTCCTCTGGTCCTGCCCTCCGGCCTCTCCACGTGACCCTTCAGCCCCACCCCCACCCCTACATCCTGTTCGGGAACCTGTTGTTGGGTTTCCCACAGGGTGAAGGGGTTGGGGCCCTCTCGGAGGTCTGCAGAGATCTTCTGGAGGGCGGGGTGAGGCGGGGGGGTGGGGTGGGGAGAAGCACGTCCATCAGTCAAGGGCTCAGAATCCCTCGGCCCCTCAAAGCTGGGCTAGAGGAGCCTGAAGGGGGCGCTCGCTCTGCCCCGGGACTCCTCTGTCCTTTCCTTTTCCTGCGGCTCCCTTTTCTACCCCTTGGTGGCTGCCGCCCCCAGCCCTATCCTGCTCCTTTGCTTTATTTTTCCTCCTGTCTCCTGCCCCTTCCAGTCCAGCTTTGGGAACGCCCTCTCCCCCCCCCCCACTTCTCCAAAGACACCTTGAATTCTTGATGGAATGTACCCCTGTTCTCAGTAAGGATTCGAGGCGGGGGCTAACGCGGGGGTACTTAAAGGGTCACCCCCGCCTGCGTCATCCACGGGCATTATTGGAAGCAGTTCTGGGCTGTGGGAGAGGTGCGGCTTGGGCTGCCGCGGCGGGAGGGGAAATGGGTGGAGGCGAGGGCTGCTCCTCCTGCCCTGCTCCCTGTACTGTTGAGACCCGGCAGAGCCTCTACCAAGTCCTCATCAGCATGCAAATCATGAAATCTCTGCCCCCCACCATTGTGGTGGAGGAGAGAGGCGGGGTCCTCAGAGAGGGGGCTGGCGGGCCGCAGCAGGGCTAGGGTGCAGCAGGACCTGTTGTGAGGGTCGTGCACTGTTGAGGGGCCTGCACCTCTTTGCTGCTTCCCTACTGCTCCCCTGGGGCTGCCACCAGCCTCCTGCCCTCCTGGTTCCGCTGGCCGGGCCAGGAGAGGGTGGGATGGGAGTCCCAGGGGGTCCCAGGAGATCCTGTATATAGTGGAATGGGGCCATTTGGAGTCATCTCTGAGCACTTGGAGCTCGGAGGGTCCCACTTTCCCTGGATGGAGAAGGGGTGTGGGGATGGGGGTGCTGAGGGGGCTCCATCCTGCATTTCTCCCTGCTGTGAGTGAACTCCCCTCTCCTCAGCCTTCCCCTCCAGCCCGCCAGCCTGGGAGGGGAGAGGAAGGAGGTCCCAGCCCGGAGATGTGGCCAGGGGCAGCCTCCCTCCTTCCTGCCAACGTGAGCCATCCTGAGATGTCTGTACAATAGAAACCAAACCAAATGGGCACCCTGGGTCGCCAGGGGCGGGGTGGGGGGAGGGATGTCTGTCTGTGGATCCCCTCCCCCTCTCCACTCCTTACCCACTAAGGCAGAAGACTGTTAAGACTAGGGGCTCAGCAAATTCAATCCCACCCTTAACCAATTGAGCCAAACCTAGAAACAAACACAAACCATGGAGTGAGAGACGAAATAGAGGAAAGAGAGAGTTTGAGAGGGAGCAAGATAGGCGACCAACATAGAGGAGAGAAAACAAAAATAGCAAAAAAAAAAAAAAAAGCAGTTCTTTATAATTTAATATTCTATTTTAATAAAGGCGTTTATTACCATATAAATGTAGCAAAGAACCTGGGCTAATATGAAAAAAAAGACTTTTTATTAGGTAATTTATTATATGAAAAGGATATTTTATTTTATGATAAAGTGATCCTTAAAAAAATAAAAAAACTTTAGAAGGTTTAGAATATATGTAGGGAGAGAAGAAGAAAAAAATACATTTGTATTCAGAGTTAAATCTTAAAAAAAAAAAGTGTTTTTAATATATGTTCGGGTTTACGTTCCTTTTTTCCCCCACTTTTATTTGGGGAGGAATGTCATTTGCTTTTCTTGGGGGAGTATCCTGGGATGGATGGGGAGAGGGGGCTGGGGGAACCTGGTCCCTTCTGGGGCCCTGCAGGGAGATTGGATTTCACTCTCTGGGCCCCCCCTCCCTCTCCCCCTCCCCCTCAGGGGAGCCGGCAGAGCCAAACAAAGAAAGGGATTAAGGAGAAAGGAAGAAGTGGGAGGACCGGAGGATCCTGGGGTGCCCCCCCTCCCCGTGCCCTGTCCCAGGGCCAGTGAGGGGCGAAGAATCCAGAACAGGCCAGCAGGCCTCGGAGCCCTCAGACAAGTGTGAGATTTCAGAGAAATAGATTTTTTTTTAACCAAAAATGAGAGAGAGAGTGAAGAAAGAGAAAGAGAAACCGAGGGGTTTAAAAGAAAAGAATACTACAAAATAATTATTAATAATAATAATAATAATTCAAATCTATTTCATATAATCCTAGAGAAAGAAAGAAAGAATTACTAGTTACTTAGTAGACGATATTCAGATAGCTTAAAGTTTAGTAGCGTTGAGGGCCCCGGGCTCAGTAGAATGTATAAAAATCGTATTGAACAGAAAAATAGAGAGAAATGGCGGAGTCCGCCCTGAGCCGCCCCATCTTCAGGTTGCAGGGCCGGTGTAGGTTGCTAGTTAAGACTGGGAGCTTCCACTCTGCTGGGGTTGATGTAAGAATCCTTGGAGTTAGAAATTGTAGGACTAATAGACGGGGCTCCCTTCCCAGGGTCTCTGTCAGCTCAATCAGGTGGGGGCTGGGCCGGGCCTGCACACCCCGTAGTAGCGGGGGCCTGGCCGGCTCCCCCTTCTGCAGACCGTCGTCCTCTCCTGATACCTCAGGGAGGATGGGGCCTGCTCAGTTCCGAGTCTCCCAGGCCTGGCTGAGGAAGTCCTTCCTGAAGTGTGACTTCCATCCGCTTCGCTAGGGGCTGACTGGAAAGTCATTTCACACAGACCCCGACACGCACACACCCCCACCCCACCCCACCCCCGACCTCCTGGTGCCCTGAGAGCCTAGGAGGATCGAGCCCCCCCTTCCCTTCCGTGGCAGCAGCGGTGGGAGTGCCCATCTCAACTGTGCTGCTCCTTTAAAGCCATAGGGTGCCCTACAGGTTTGCAAAGTGCTTTATTGTCGCTTTAGAAGTTAGACTGCAAGAAGGACTTCCTGGGGTAGAGTGGAGACGCTGACCCTGAAGGCCTGGGAAAACAGGGTCCCCGCCCCGTCCCCGAAGGGTAGAGAGGCAGGGAAGGGCACTGGACCTTGGGCGACCTCACCACTAACTCCCCCTGTGAGTGTTCAGGTAGGGGTCATCCATGGTGCCCCTGGCCTGGGGGCACGTGGCCCTTCCCAGAGGAGATTGGGAAGCTTGGCTTTTGCATGTGGGAACTCAAGGTTTTTAAAGCACTTGCCTTCGACCCACGCCAGCTGGCAGTCCCATCAGGCCCTTTGCTCCTGTCCCGGTGGTGAGGAGCCCCCTGCCCACGCCCTGGGCTCACCTGTTGGCAAGAGGCACCTGCTCCGATACACCAATGACTGCCATGTCCCTCCCTGCCCTAGACCCCAAACCCATCTCCCTCTCTCCAGCTCGCTCCTCGCACCCCACCCAGGGACAGGACTCCCCTGCTCTTTTTGTCCTAGGAACCCCGCTAGTTTGGGATGGTAGCGTCTGGGGTGGGGAGGGCTTCCCCTTCCCCACTCGAGGGTGCGGGTGGGGTCGGGTGGGTGGGTGGAGACAGCCCTGGGGCAGGGGGGATGGTCTCTCCACTGTAGAAAGTAGAGTAGGATTGTGGTCAGACTTAATTTGAGGCATCTAGTGAAGACACGAACAAATCCACCAAGGCAAAAGGTTTTTCAAAAGCAAACTAAAGGCGGGAAATGAAACGGACCCATGAATAATCAAAGTGATGTTGCACAAAACGCAGAGAAACCAAGAAGGGGGAGGGTTAATGTATTAAATGTGCTATTAAGAACTTAATTTTATTAAAAGTATTATTACTTAAGGCTGTGTCTCTCCATGTGTCAGTCTGCGCCGGCTCATTTGAGCCGGGAGCAGGTGCGCCGGGTCCGGGTCCGTGACTTGGGGCCTTCTCTGGTGTGTCTTGGGAACCCCTGTGGGAACTGAGCGCCCAGCCACCCTTGGGCTCCCGTTTGCTCCTTCCTCCTCCTCCTCGCAGCTGGCATCCAACACCTTGCACCCTCCCCTCCCCCACAGAGCAGGAGGGGGCGAGGCTGGGTGTATCGGCCTTGCCCGGACAAGCACCTCTTGGCTCGTGGAGGAAGAGCAGGAGACAGAGACCCTCCCCACTTACCTGCCATTGTCAAGCCATCCCTCCTCAGGGCCGGGAAGAAACTTCGTGGAAGAAAGGGAACTTCCTCCACCTTGGGGCTTCAAACCCCCTGCGGAGCACGCACACTGCTGGCCCTGGCTCCCCCTTCTCCCCTGCACCCCCTCAGCCTCCTCCTCTTGCCCCTGGCATTGGAGTGACCTCAGTTCTTGGCACCAGGGCCCTGGGCACCAGATGGCGCCCGCCGATGGTTTTCTTTGTCTCGCCTTCCAGATACCCCCTCCCCTCCACAGCATCCTCCCTCCCCCACCTGCCCTGGGGGCTGGCAGAGGGAAGGGCCGCACCTCCTGCCCCCTTGGCACTGTCCCCAGACCACAGAACTCCCCAGGCAGCTGGCCCTGGGGAGTGAGTGTGTGTGTGTGTGTGTGTGTGTATGTGCAGTAAGCACGGTGTGGCAGGCAGGCAGGGTTAGGGACTCAGGAGAGGGGCTCAAGTTGAAGGGGAGTCGGGGCCAGGCATTGATACAAAACGGCTTTATTGGGCCCTAGGGTGCACGGGGGTAGCAGATCACAGGGACCTGTGTGGAGGTGCGTAGAGACCTCAGGGCTCTGGGGATAGTGAGTTGGGAACCAGACACCCTGACTTCTAGAACCGAAGGGCAGAGAAAAGTCCCCGAACTGAGCTGGGGTGGGGGTGGGGAGAAGCCAAAGTCAGAGGTTGATGCAGCAGGCCCTCTTCTGCCCAGGGCCGGGCTCCTGCCCAGCCTGGGCACTGCCCAGGGCGATGGCATTGCTCCGGGGGCTGTTCTGGTTCTGCTTGGACACCTTCGCAAAGATCTCTGGGAGGGCAGAAGGCAGTGGTCAGGCTGGAAGCAGTTGCAGCGCCCACGCTCCCCAGCCCACACTGCACTCTTGCAGGGAGTTATGTGGGAAGGAAGTGGAGTGTGGCCACACAGGCCTCCTCTACTTACCTGGCCAGAGAAGAAACCAAGACTTAGCCCCTCCCCCTCCTCCTCCTCCTCCTCCTCTGGTACAGGAGGGGGAGGTGCCAGCAGCTTTGTGGAGGCCGAGACCCACAGAAGGGCGGAGTGGGTGTCTGGGGGTGCCAGGCCGAGGCAGGCTCTCACCTTTGAGAACGGTCTCAAAGGCCAGCTCCACGTTGGTGGAGTCCAGGGCGGAGGTCTCCAGGAATAGCAGCCCATTGTTTTCTGCCGGGAAAGAGAACCCGGAGATGAGCGTGATAGACAATTGATGGTCACGACGCACTGTGCTGTGTTCGAATCATGACATGCTCCTTTCACCCTGAAAACCACCGATGAGGTAGGTTCGGTGAGGGCCCTGCAGCCCAGACACAGGGAGCTTTCTCCATGTCCCACCTCTGGGGCCTGGCCAAGAGGAGATGGGAGGCTTGGTCAAGACATGCGGGCGCTCTGCACTGCCGTATCTGCTGTACCGTGCCGCTTCTGCACCTAGGAGACTCCTGGGCAAAAGGCGACTGCGGGTGGGTGCGGGGAGGCAGGCTCTGTGCTAGGATCTTCAGGCATTGCAGAGTGGGGCTGCCTTCCGGAACTGCCAGTGAAGAGGCCCCAGGGCAGGGGTCAGGACCCAGAGGGGGACCCTGAGAAGCATACGGGGCTCCCGGGACTGAATGGCACGGAGTGTAGCTGGCAGTCCTAGGGCTGGGAGCAGCGTGGGCAGAATGGGGAGGTCCTACCAGGCTCTCACCGGCAAACATTCGGGCCTCCTCCGTGGGCACCTCGCGGGCCTGGCTGAGGTCACTCTTGTTTCCCACAAGCATGACGACGATGGTGGCCTCTGCGTGGTCATACAATTCCTTCAGCCAGCGCTCCACCACGGCGTAGGTCTGGTGCTTGGTTAGGTCGAACACAAGGAGGGCCCCCACCGCGCCACGGTAGTACCTGGGTGGGGGCAGGAAGGATGCGCGGAGGTGATCGGATAGGGGCGTCAGACTCAGAGAAGAGCCAGCGGGATGCCAGAGATGGGGAGCAGGGAAACTGAGGCCCAGGGACCCAAAGCCCCAGGGGGCAGCACAGGGCTCCCGTGCCCACTTACTCCCAATGTATTCTGTCAACCGAGTCTCCTAAGAGGCCAGGGGACTAAGTGGTGAGGGTGTGTGCTCCATGGGAGTGCGTGTAGCTAAGAAGATCCTGACTTTTCCTGCCTCGTAGCAGGTGCTACCCCGCAACCACACACACAGGCCTGGTGCTGACGCACAGTCTCTCTCAACATCTTTTTGTCCTCTGAGACAAAAAGGTGCCAGGGCCAGGACTGTGCCAGTTCTGTGGCTTAGCGGGTTAAGCCACCATCTGCGACATCCATTGGGTTGCCCGTTCGAGTCCTGGCTGCTCCACTTCTGATCCAGTTCCCTGCTAATGTGCTTGGGAAACAGCAGAAGATGGCCCAACTGCTTGGGCCCCTGCACCCGTGTGGGAGACCTGGAAGAAGCTCCTGGCTCCTGGCCCCAGAGCTCTCTGTCTCTCTCTCTCTCTGTCTCTGTCTCTGTGTGTGTGTGTGTGTGTGTGTAACACTGCCTTTCAAATAAACAAAAATTAAATCTTTGAAAAAGCAAATGCAGGAGACTGGCACTGTGGCATAGTGGACTAAGCCTCCTCCTATCCCATATGGGCACTGGTTCGAGTCCCAGCTGCTCCTCTTCTGATCCAGCTCTCTGCTGTGGCCTGGGGAAGCAGTGGAAGATGGCCCAAGTGCTTTGGCCCCTGCGCTTACGTGGGAGATCAGGAAGAAACTCCTGGTTCCTGGTTCCAAATCGGCTTACCTCTAGCCATTGTGGCCATTTGGAGAGTGAACCAGTGGAAGATGGAAGAACTTTCTCTCTGTCTCTCCCTCTCTCTGTCTGTAACTCTGCCTCTCAAATAAATAAATAAAATCTTAAAAAAAAAAAAAAAGTCCAGCCCTTGGCCATCTGTGGTTGCAGAGCGCTGTGTCGACATGAGGGGGCGCCCTCGAGCCGATCCACACAGCTGGCTCCTATCCCCACTCCAGCTGGATTTCACTTGGGCGGTGTTTAAACAAGGATTCACGATACCGCCTGACTCCTGTGGGACTTTGACGGTGACAGAAAGTGTCAGATGTGCAATGCCTTCTACCCTCCAGGGCACATGGAAGAGACTTAGCAAATGGTGGCAATGATTCCTAGTTTTAGCGCTGCTGGCCCATACCACGACATCTGTCTCACAGGACTTCTGCCTCCTGTGATCCCCAGGGCCATGCCTCAGAAGCCCACTGCTCAGTGTCCCCCGCTGCCTGCCCGCTCCGAGGTGCTCTCTGTCCTGCCCAGGATTCCCGCGCCCCAGCAGCCCCCTGGAGCCCAGGCTCACGCCGAGGTGATGGCTCGGTACCGCTCCAGGCCAGCTGTGTCCCAGATCTGCGCCTTGACAGCTGCGGTGCCCAGCAGCACGGTGCGGGTGGAGAACTCGACCCCGATGGTGGTGCGGCTGTCGTGGCTGAACTCGTTGCGCGTGAATCGGGACAGCAGGTTGGTCTTCCCCACGCCTGACTCGCCGATCAGCACCACTGAGGGGGTGGACAGGTGAGGGCTGAGCGACAGGCTGGGCGGCCCCTGACCCACCCAGGCTTGGAGGGCCTGTCCATCAGGAAAGAGGAGTTGCACGGAGAAGACTTGGGGGGGAGTGCCGGGGCTCAGCCCCTTCTAAGGCACCTGTCCAGAGGGGCAGCAGGGCCAAGAGTTTAAAATGAAAAAAGAGCTTCAAAGGGTTAGCCGCCTGGTGCACTGTGGTGTGGCTGCAGAGTGAGCCCGTGTTTCTGACGCCTGTGGGCTGGTAATGGGGCTGTGAGGGTGGTTACTGGGACAGGGATGGTAGGAGGTCTGGAGCAGCGAGTATGACAATGAGAGAGGTCTCCCCTCCCCTGGCTTACTCCCCAGATGGCTGCAAGGCCAGGGCTGGGCCAGGCCAAAGCCAGGAGCCAGGAGCTTCATTCAGATCTCCCACGTGGGTACAGGGGCCCAAACACTCGGACCATCCTCTGATGCTTTTCCCAGGTCATTAGCAGGGAGCTGGATCGGAAGCAGAGCAGCTGAACACTGGGATGCCGTGTCTGCAGGCAGCTTTATCCCCTATGCCACCACACGGGCCCTGCCTTTGGAGTTAACACACTTGTGCTGGGGAGGCAGTGTCGTGGCCCAGCAGATCAAGCTGGTCCTTGCAGTGCTGTGTGGGAATCCCTGGCTGCTCTACCTCAAATCAGCTCCCTGCAAATGTCCCTGGGAAGGCAGTAGATGATGGCCCAAGTGCTTGGGCCCCTGCACCTGCATACAATACCAGGACAGAGTTCCTAGCTCCTGTTTTCCACCTGGCTCAGTCCTGGCTGTTGCAGGCATTTGGGGAATGAACCAGTTGGTGAGAGATGCTCACGCGCGCGCGCTCTCTCTCTCTCTCTCTCACTCTCAAAGCCCCCACCCCCACCCTATAGCACTGCCTTTCAAATAAATTTAAAAATCAAGCAAAATAAGACATTTGTGTCTAACATCAGAGTGCCTGAGTTTGGTTCTTGGCTCCAGTTCCTTCCTCAAGCTTCCTGCTGGTGCAGACCCCAGGAGAGAGCAATGATGGCTCCAATATTTAGGTTCCTGCATTCACGTGGGAGACCTGAGTGGTGCTCTTGGCTCTCGGCTTTGGCCCTGGCTGTTGCGGACATTTGGGGAGTGGACGAGTGCTCCCTTGCTCTCTCTCTCTCTCTCTTTTTCTGTCCAATACATAAGCAAAAATTAACAAGAAGAAAGTTAGGATCCAGGCGTCCCTAGGAATGCCGTGGGTGCTGGGCCAGCTCTGTGCCCATCAGCAGGTTACTAAGCCTCTGTGAAGCTTCTTTTCTGTATGGAAAGTGGGAAGAAAAATGGTCTCCACCTTAGGGGTAGATGGAGTCCTGGGCCCGGGTCTCCCGACTGTGGGTGAGCCAGGGCCTGGGGGGAGTGTCAGGGGCTGGTGTCCGTACAACTCACCCATTGCGCCAGCACTGAGCTGAGCACCCAGGATCAGAGGAGGCCCCCCAGGGTGGCCCCAAGGTGGAAAAGTGGTGCCCAAGGACTGGGACTATGTATTTTGGGCTGTGGGCTCTGTTCAGCCTGTGACTAGCTGGGCAAACTTGAACAAGTGGCTCACCTTTTCTGGATTTCACTTCCTTGCTTATACAATCTATAAAGGCCCCCTCTGACGTTAAAAATGCAGTATTTGTGTCGGCCATGAAAGAGTTGTGTGTGTATTCGAGTGAGGGTGCTTTAAGGTTCATGGAAAATGGAATTAAAAGATAAGTTTATTCCAGTGCAAAAAATTTGTGAAGTCTATGCAGCGTTTGTCATAATATGCATTTGTCATAAACTTTTTAAAGATGACCGGAGCCGCGGCTCACTAGGCTAATCCTCTGCCTTGCGGCGCCGGCACACCGGGTTCTACTCCTGGTCAAGGCGCCGGATTCTGTCCCAGTTGCCCCTCTTCCAGGCCAGCTCTCTGCTGTGGCCAGGGAGTGCAGTGGAGGATGGCCCAAGTGCTTGGGCCCTGCACCCCATGGGAGACCAGGATAAATACCTGGCTCCTGCCATCAGATCAGCGCAGTGCGCTGGCCACAGCGCGCCGGCCGCGGCAGCCATTGGAGGGTGAACCAATGGCAAAAGGAAGACCTTTCTCTCTGTCTCTGTCTCTCTCTCTCACTGTCCACTCTGCCTGTCAAAAAAAAAAAAAAAAACTTTTTAAAGACCTCTGGTGTGTGTATTGTGGGGGGTGTGTGTGTGTGTGCACACCTGCCTTGCCTCTTCCCTGTTGGAAATGCAGCTCCTAGTTGCTCCAAAGTTGCCCAGGAAAAGTTCTTTTGAGTGCTGTGGCTTTGTGACCTCAGGGAAGCTAATTACCCTGCCTCTAAGTCTCAGTTTCTCATTGCAAAACAGAGATTCTGTTGGTTAACATGGTTTGAGCGCCTACTGTGTGTGCCAGGCACCGTGCTACAGGCTCACCAGTACTCACTAAATCTTCACGACAGTGCTGTGAGGTGAGTACCATTATGATTGTCCTCATTTTTATCAACAAGGACACAAACACTCCAAATAACACAGCTAATGCAAACACAGAGGTGTGCCGTCCAGAGCTGCCGTGCAGCACCTGCCCATCACCCCAGCCCCACGCGCTGCAGGCAGTACAGGCAGCAGCCAGCCTCAGGCCCCCAGCTCCTGCCACGCCCGCCCTGGCTATACGTGGCTATAACAGCGGCCTCATTGAAGTCAGCCTCTCCCAGGCAGCCCGCACCCCGTGCCTGAGCAAGGTGAGGCTAGCAGCGCTCCCGCCCTGCATAGAGCCTGCGTGCAGCCCAACTTCTCCCTGTGCCCAACCCTGTTTCCTCCCCTGCCTTTCACCAGTGTTGCTCTAACCTTCTCAGTGTCTGCCTCTGGACACTGCCACCTGCTGCGACTTTAAGGTGGCAGAGCTGAGACCTGAACCCTGGCTGGGCCCTGACCATTGGGCTGGACTGCCTCTCAGAAGGAAAGATGACTTTCAGGGGGCATGTTAGGGTTTTTAATGAGATAGGGGCTGGTATGGAGGCAGGGCTAACCCCCAGCCTGTCGGCGTCCTTCCTGGGAAAGATGCCGGGAGTACAGGTTCCCCAGCTTGCGTGAGGGTGGGGCCGAGGCTGGGAGAGGCAGTGGGGTGGGGTGGCTGGAGGGGGAAGCATTGGCTCTACCAGTCTGCCCTGTCCTGAAGGAGGTGTGGAGGTTGGGTTGGGGAACACAGAGGGGCCAAACACAGGGGCTGAGATAAAGAAGCAGGAAAGATACACACACATACTTGCAGGGACAGCCAAGTGGAACCCAGGGCCTGGGGCCTGAGTCCAAGGAGTCTGCGAGGGAGAGACAAAGCTCCGGCCCAGCAGCAGTAAGCAGTAGCTTCCTCTGGAGCCGGCCAGCCCCTGCCTGATGCATTACATCTGCCCTTTGTATGTCTCCCCCAGCCCTAGGGCGAGGCAGCTCTCTCCTTTCCTTTTCTATACACCTGCCTGGAAAGTCGACTCTCTTTCCCTTGTTCCCAGAGGGGAAGTCCTTTCTGAAGTCTGACCTCCATCTCCGGTGCTGCAGGGGCTGACTCTTGGGGGGGGGGTGGGCGGGGAGTCGGGCAGGGGAGCCTAACTTGGCACTTTCAGGGTGATCAACACACTTGGCAGCCCCTGGACTTTTGCCCTGAGACCCGCCCCCACTCCCCCTGCAGCTTGCTTTCTTAGCAGGAGGGCATGATGACCCTGGGGGTCCTGGGACCAGATCAAAACACAAGAGGGGCCCTCTCTGGCTGTGTTTGTTCCTTCCCGGGCCTCTCACACTTCCTCCCTTCGGGACCCGAACTCACCTTTGAAGACAAAGTTATAATCTTCCTCCGTTCCGTTCCCCATCTTGGCTCCGCATGGAGGGTGCAGGTGTCTTTGGGTGGGTCGGGGAGGGGGGGCAGAGGTGACAAGGCAGTGCGCTGGCTCAGTACCCTCAACCCTCGGCTCTCGGGAGACCTGGGCCCGCCCCTCCTCTCATTGGGGGTGAAGCGACTTCTCCAGCCGGAGAGACTGAGGGCGAGCGGAAGCCAGGCAGGCAGCTGGGGGTGCAGCAAGGAAGCGGGCAGACGGAAGCTGAGAACAGGAAGAGCGGGCGACTGGAGACCTGGGGCCCAGGTGGGTGGAGAGATGATGACGTCAGACAGGTTAGACAGGTTGGGTGTCTGCTCTCCCTGCTGGGCTCCCGCGCGTGCAGCAGAGCCAATGCTAGGGGGGCCAGAGTGGGGGAAGAAGCTTGGACAGGCACAGGATCTTCAAAGGGCTGGATCCACACGGATCTGTGGCGAGGGGGCCAAGCCACCAGGGAGAAATAGGCCCCCCTAGGGCACAGAAAGTCCCTTGGCTTCCTGCTTCTCCTTCAGAACTTCTGGTTGGGGGGTTGCTGGGGGTGCTAGAAGTAGGGCTGTTGCTGGTGTGGGGCCGGGCTGCCAATCACCTGCTGCAAGGCAGAGCTGTGGGAGCTGCACTGCCTCCCTCCCTGGGACAGCCCTGGGCCTGGGCCAGGTGGAGCTGGGCTTGCAACCTCCCTGCTTCCCTACACAGACCTGCTTTAAGGACACTGGGTAGGGGAGACCTAGGGCAGAAAGCGCCTGCTGGGGCAGGACCTGCAGGTGAGGCCTCTGAGAGCCCTCCTAGTTTCTTTCACTCCCTGCACAGGACTGGAGACACACACACACACACACACACACACACACACCAATGCATCTTGTTGAGGCTGGTGTTTGGTGCACTTGTTAAGTCACTGCTTGGGCTGCCTGTACCCCGTATCAGAGTGCCTGGTTCAAGTCCCGACTACTTTATTTCCTGGTCCAGCGTCTTGCTAACAAGCACCCTGGGAAGCAGCAAGTAATAACTCAGGTCCTTGAGTCCCTGCCACCCAAGCTAGGAGAACCTGAGGAGTCCTGAGCTCCCAGCTTTGACCTGACCCAGTCCTGGTTGTTGTGGGCATTTGGGAGTGAACCAGTAGATGGAAGATCTCTCTTTCTCTCTCTCCCCTTCAAATAAAAAAAAAATTTAAAAGGCATCCTTGGGGCTGGCATTGTGGTGCACTAAGTTAAACAGCCACCTGCAACTCCAGCATCCCAAATGGATGCTGGTTCAAGTCCTGGATGCTCCACTTCTTTTCTTCCTCTTCTTTTTTTTTTTTAAAAAAGATGTATTTATTTATTTATTTGAAAGTCAGAGTTACAGAGAGGCAGAGACAGAGAGAGAAAGGTCTTCCAACCACTAGTTCACTCCCCAAATGGCTCCAACAGCCGGAGCTGGGCCCATCCAAAGCCAGGAGCTTGGAGTTTCTTCCAGGTTTCCATGTGGGTACAGGGGCCCAAGGATTTGTGCCATCTTCTACTGCTTCCCCAGGCCATAACAGAAAGTTAGATTGGAAGTGGAGAAGCCAGGTCTCAAACTGGCGCCCATACGGTATGCCGGCACAGCAGGCAGCAGCTTTACCGGCTGCATCACAGCACCGACCCCTACTGCTCCACTTCTGATCCAGTTTCCTGCTAATGTGCCTGGGAAAGCAGCAGACGATGGCCCAAGTACTTCAGCCCCTGTACTCACATGCGTGACCCGGATGAAGCTCCTGGATTCAGCCTGACCCAGCCTCAGCTGTTGTGGCCACTTAGAGAGTGAACCAGCGAAGGGTAGGTTAGGAGCCATCCTTCCAACCCCAGAAAGAAGAAAAGGCAAGCCCCTCGAAGCCCAGAATGGCCACTGACCTCTCAGGGTCTGATATGCTCTTGTCCAGCCTGTGCCAGGAGCCCACTCCCAACAAGGTTGCCAACCAGGTAGCTAAGAATCTGCTGTGACCTCACCAGGGTAGGTGAGGTCACAGCACTGGAGAGGCCAGGAGAGCTGAGGCACCTCTGCCAAGAACCATTTGGTAGCGGGAGGTCACAGGGAAGGTGCAGGTGGACGCCCATTCTTGCAGAACACAGGACACCCTGTACGTGGCCCCTGCTCCTTCCTGCCTCCTATGATTCTTCCCATCAAAAAAAAAAAAAAAGCCAAGACACAAGACAGGAGCTGAATTTCATTCTTGAACAACAACAACAACAAATCAAAAACCACAGTCCCGCCCTCCCCCCATGGTCTCTATGATGCTGACCCCATTCTGACCCCAGCTTCCACCAATGTCCATTATGATGCAGCTACTTGGGTCAGGGGCTCCTCCAGGTACTGCACCAAGGCCTGGGCCTGCAAGAGGGGGGGAAGAAGTCAGTGTCGCAGATGCCTGCCACTTGACGGATCCCAGCTCTACTCCCAAGGCCGCCCCTCAACCACTCCCACCTCCCTCCTGCCCACATCAGACACGAATTGAGCTGACGGAAGGACTTGAGAGCGGTGCGGTGCTGTGGGTGGGAGTGGACACAGTGACGGAGCACAACAGCGGGCCACAGCTGCGGCAGGATGGACATGTACACACCTTGGCCTTGAGCATGCCGAAGCCCACGGTCTCCTTGGCATACATACACAGCAGAAGGTTGGCCACGCGGGTGATGGCTACACGGCCCTCCTGGTAGGGGACATGAAGGGATGGGATGTTCTGTTTGACACTCACAGGCCCCGCCTTCCCCGAGGGTTCCTGACTTAAAATGTATGTCTCGTCTGGGTTGCAGTCACATTTGAAAGCTACTGCTTTATATAGCACCAGCTCCAGCTAGGCACCCATAGGAGTCACCTGCTGAGCCAAAATGGCAGTGGTGAGGTCGGGGGGGCAGGCAGCCAAGTTACAGTGGAGACCCTTCCTGGTGCACGCACCCTTGCAATCTGTTCATTTTGGTTCTGCAAACCTTTACTAGGTGTCCGCTGTGTGCTAGGAACCAGGCATCACAGCCCCTGTCTTTCTGGTCCTATCTCCTGCTACCCTCCCGCGACTCAGGCCAAGCTTGCTGATCCTAGTCCAGGCCCCACTCTGTCACAGGACCTTGGTACTTGCTGCTCTGTCAGAGGGCCACATGACTGGACCCCCACCACCCTCTGTCCTTTGATCAAACATCGCCTTTTCAGTGACACTGGCCCTAACACACGCCCTCCATACCCTCTTACTTCCCTGCTTTGTTTTTCTCCATTGCATTTCATACGGTCCAGACCAGATAGTCCGCTTATTTTAAAACACATGTAAGGTTGTAAGCTCCACTAGGAATGGGGTTTTTGTCTGTCCTGTCTGTATGCCCCCTCTAGTCCTAAAAGTCCTGCAGGACCTAAATGGTTGTCACCGAAGAGATTCAGAGAGGAGTGAAGCAGTCCCTGTTCCCAAGAAAGTCACAGTGTAATGGCCACTTCTCCTTTCCGGGTCTGGAGACTCCGCCATGGCCCTGCAAGTCGGTGGCGCTGGGTGGACACGCTCTGCGTCTGAACAGCTCTCTACGGTGTAGACCCATTCTTTCATTTGATTGTCAACAGCCCCGAGGTGGGGGAGGATGGCTCATCACCTCCTGCGTGGAGATGAGGGAAGTGACTTACCCAAGGTTTCACCACTGCTAAGTGCATGGCAGAGACCAGAACCCAAGTCAGACCTGAGGTCCGGGGCTCCTTCCTCGCCACCGCTGGGTGCTCGCGGGCCTGCCTATCGCAAACGCTGCTGCAGGACCAACTCTTAGCAATCTCTCGGAGATTCTGTCCCTGCCCCAACAATCATCCAGGATGGGGGCCAGTTCGCCCCCTGGGAATCCCCTTGGTGGATGGAGGAAGTCTGGCTCCCCTCTCTCCGTACCATGCAGTCCATGAGGATGAATTTAAGGTTGTCTTCGTTAAACGCCTGGTTCCCGTTTCGGTCGTAGGCTGCCCAGATGTTACTCGCGATGGCTGCGGTGACCCGGGCGTCCGTGTCTCCATAACCCGAGTAGGCCAGCAGCGATCCCTCGTTATTCAGCAGCCTGGCGAGAGACAAGGATGGGATGTCGACATGCTCAAACGCCTGGGTCCCCGCCCCGACGCCCGTATCACTGGCGCTCCTACGAGGCAAGGGGCTGAGCTGAGCGTGTCCCGGAACGCGTCCCGAGCCCCCAGCACGCTGGCTTCCCTTTTCCCAGAGGTGCGCTCTCGGTCAGCTGCGGGTCCCCTCGGCCGCCTCCCTTCCCCGCCCCACTCCGCTGCCGCCGCACGGGTCCACGACCCGCACTCACAGGGTGCTCTGGACGCCTCCGGTGTTGGCTTGGCTTAGCACCTGGGTCAACGCCTTGGGACGCAGCATGCCAGCGGCTCGTCACCCAGCCTTTAAATCCCAGATCCTCCGAGCGGCGTCCCGCTTAGCCGCGGCCTGCGGCTTCCGGCAGTGCAGCGACCCGCTCGGGAACGCCCTGGGAGTTGTAGTTTTCCGACCCTGTGACAGCTGCTCTGGCCCCACCCCGCTCAGCCGCGGAGGGACTGGGAATCGTAGTTCCTGTGGTCTCGCAAGGCACACTGGGAACTGTAGTTCGCCTCCTCAGCTAGACCACGCGGTCGTGGGGGAAAAGAGCGGGAGTGGAAGGGCAATGTGGCAGGGTTGGGAGGACGTTTAACCCCTTGGCGGAGAGAGGTCATCATGGCCGCTTGGCTACTCACGAAGCGATAATAGTAGTAATAAATCCTCGTATTTGTCGGGCACAGCCTGGGTTACTTCTCAGAGCGGTTTTCTACGTTAGGCACGATTCTGTGGGATGAGGCAAGAGATTCTGTTTTCTTGAAACCGAGGCTGGAACGGTGACGCCGGCAACACCCAGTTCTCGCACTGTACAGAACAGGCCATTCAGGCCGTGGGCATCGGGAGCAACAGGGTCACTCCCTGAGTGGAGGCTTTAAGTGGACGTCCCGCGGGGAGAAAATTCAGACTCCCGGTGGAGCGAGGCCCCAGGCCTGGAAAGGAACTTGCACCGCCCAGGGAAGACCAAGTTATCACAGAAAAAGCGGCCACGCAGAAAGTCCTTTGTCCGGGAGCAGGAGTAACCGCGGAGGGGAGGGGGCGGCCCGGGGTCGCAGGGCACGGCGGCGAGGCTCGGGCCGGGCGGGGGTCTCTCGCAGGCCCCCGCCGTGAAGGACACGCCCTCCGCGCCCAGAGGCCCTCGCCGCCCAGGCCGCGTCCCGGCGGCCGGACCCCAGGCCGGGCCCTGGGCGGACCCCGCTGCAGTGGCCCCCCCAGTCCGCCCGGGGCGCTGTGGCTGCGGCGGGTCCGGAGGGGGCGGCGGAGCCGCGGCGAGGGGAGGGGAGAGGGGAGTGTTGGAGGCGCCGAGCCGAGCCGGGCCGGCCGGCGGGCGGGGAGGAGGAGGAGGAGGAGGAGCCGGGCGGGCTGGCGGGCGGCCGGGTGGCGGCGGCGGCATGGCGGAGCCGAGCGGGGCCGAGACGAGGCCCCCCATTCGGGTCACCGTCAAGACCCCCAAGGACAAGGAGGAAATTGTGATCTGCGATCGAGCCTCGGTCAAGGAGGTAGTAGGGCTAGCGGCGGGCGGGGGGGAGCGGAGAGGGAGTGCGGAGGAGGGGGCTACGAAGAGACGGGGCGGGGGAGCCCCCCTGTAGGCCCGGCTTCAGACGGCCCCGAAAGAAGGCCGGGGCCGGCGGGGACTCGCGTGGGCAGGAGAGGCGGATATGGGGCGCCCTGCGCGGGCGGGTCTGGGGGAGTGTGGCGCGTGCTGGGGGGAGCGGGCTTTGCACTGGAGCCGGGGCTGGGGGCGTGGTGGAAGAGTGGGTAAGGGGACACCTTGCGCCGGCCCCCGGGAAGCACCCTGGGGCTGAGGGGAGTGTGCGCCCCTGGAACTGGCCGGGGTTCGAGGCGCCGAGGCGCAGTGGCGGCCCCGGCTAGGTGCTGGACCCGTAGAGCGGGTGGGGGGGCAGGCGGAGAGCGCCCGCGTCTCCTGTGTGGCCCGGAGAACGCCCAGAGTCCGCCGAACGCAGGGCGCGGGGTGGGGTGGAGGATGTTCTCTGCCCTAGATCCTTCCTGCTCTTTAAGCCCGAGGTGGTCACACTTGGTTTTCAGCTCTTCTGAGATTTGCACAGTGTGCAGTAGGTGCTCCATAAGGTTTTGTTGAATGAGGGACTCTTGCCTGCGTTCGCCACCCCCCTGTAGTTGCTCCAGAATTTCTCATAGGCGGGGCTTCAGGATGGGCCATCTGGTTGGAAGAGAGGGATTTGGAAGCTCCCTTTGCTTATTAGCAAGTGCGCCTTTTCTACTCGGAGTGTGCGCTGGGTTGGGTTGGGCTTTGCAGGGACTGAGAATTGAACTCTCCCAGCAGTATAAAATGACTGAATTCCAGAAGAGGGGTCCCTGCAAAGCTGACTTTGAAAACAGCTGGAATTGAGAGGCAAGAGTGTCTGGTCAAGACCTGAGTTCCAATCTGCCCAGGATGTTACCTTCCGTTTTCTGATCTTGAACACGGAGTTAATAATGAAAATACCGGACCATTAACTCGTGCCTGGTTCGTGCTCAGTGGCTGGACCTTGTTGTTGCTGTTGTTGAGAGAGCTGGAAGTCAGGAGAGGCGGGACGCTGGAGCGGGGAGAGGAGAAGGCTGAAGAAGCGCCAGGCCGTAGAAGGAGTTGATGGGGCAGTTGCTCAGTCTGGGGTACAGATAGCTGTGAGGGCTTCCTCGGGTGGGAGACTGGGATGGCGCTGAGAGAGGAGCCTCTGACTGGCTTATCTTCCTGGTTAAGAAAGAAGCTCCCTGGGAGGCAGCAGGCGGCAGCTCAAGTCCTTACCTCTCACATGGGAGATCTGGGTTGAGCTTCTGGCTCCTGGCTTCAGCCTAGCCCAGCCCCTGCTATTGCAAGCACTTGGGGGGTGAACCTGTGGCTGGGAGCTCTGTTTGCTCTGTTTGTCTCTCTCTCTCAAATAAGTAAACAAAACTTAAAGCAGGTAAGACACCTGTTGGGATGTCCACAGTCCATTTTGGAGTGCCTGGCCTGGCTCCATTGCCAATTCCAACTTCCTTCTCATGTGCACCCTGGAAAGCAGCAAGTGCTAACTCAGGTGGCTGGGTCCCTGCCACCCACCTGGGAGACCTGGATTGAGTTTCCAGCTCCCAGCTTCTGCCTGACCCAGCCCTGACTGTTGGGGACATTTGGGGAGTGAACCAGTGGCTGTCTGTCTCTGTCTTTCAAATAAATAAGATAAATAAACTAACGGGGTGGGGGGCTGCTTATCGAAGCTGGAGGGGTGGGGTTGAGACAGCAGAAGGGACTTCCCTTTGAAATCCTTGATGAGGAATCAGGGTTCCTGGTGAGAGGCGGGGGTGGGGGGAGAAATAGAACTCCCATCTGCTAGTTCCGTCCCCAGATGCCCATGACAGCTGGGATTGGGCCAAGGCCAGGAGCCAGGAATTCAATCCAGGTTTCCCATCTGGGTGGCAGGAATCAAATTACTTAAGGCAGCCAGGGCCAGCGCCTCGCCTCCCCGGGTCTGCGTTTGTGGGAAGCTGGGATTGGGAGCCAGAGCCAGGAATGGAATTCAGGTGCTAGGATGGGAGCCACAGCCAGCTAAGCAGTAGGCTGAACGCCTGCCCCGCCCCCATGGCTCTGGCTCGCAGTTCAAAGAGGAGATCTCCCGGAGGTTCAAGGCCCAGCAGGAGCAGCTCGTCCTGATCTTCGCGGGCAAGATCCTCAAGGATGGAGACACGCTGAACCAGCACGGGATCAAGGACGGGCTCACTGTCCATCTGGTCATCAAGACCCCTCAGAAGTAAGTGAGGAGGGGTGCAGCCCGCTCCTGGGGCCCCCCCTTGAGCTGCTTTCTCAGCCATGCCCAACTCTCCCTAGAGGCCCTAAGCCCAGGCCCGGGCAGGGAGCTCCTGGCTGGATGTGGTCTCACCTCCAGGACCAGGGCCGCTGACTTCCCAGAATGCCAGAAGACAGGATCCCCGCTCCCTCCTTCCTTTGCCTGGGTTTGCTGAGCTGCGGCGGCCCCAGCGTCCACCTTGCTCAGGGGCTGCTCGGTGTAGCAGGTGACAGCTCACCTCAGCCAGCTCCGGGGAGCTTTGTGGTACCGCTGGGATCCTCCCTTCTCTGTCCTCAGGGCTCAAGATCCAGGCGCTGCCACTGCGTCTTCCCCCTGCACGCCTGACCCCGCCTCGGCGCCCTCCACCACACCTGCTTCACCTGCCACGCCCGCCCAGCCCTCCACCTCGGGCAGTGCCGCCTCGGATGCTGGCAGTGGAAGCCGGAGAAGCAGTGGGGGGGGTCCCTCCCCAGGGGCTGGGGAGGGGCCCCCCAGTGCTACTGCCTCCATACTCTGTAAGCCCCGAGGGAGGAGAGCACAGTCTCGCTGGGGGCCGGGGAGTGGGGAGAGCCAAGAGGAAGGAAAAACGTGGCTCCTGCGCCTGGTCTGATGGGGGACGGGGACTCCTGGACGTAAGGGTCTAGGTGTTGCTGCATGAGCCAAGCCGGCGAGGAAGGCAATCTGTGAGGGCTTCCCAGAGGAGGGGAGCGTGGTTAAGTGTTAGGAGTGGAGGGAGAAATGGGCCTGGGCCTGTGGAAACCCTGGGTGAGGAGAGTGGAGACCATGTGAGCCGGGGGAAAAGGTGGATCCCACCATAGCCACATGGGGAGCCTTGCGCCCCTCATGCGGCCGGCCATTGCTGGTTGCCTTCTCCCCGCCCAGTTCTGTGCTCGGCTCATGGCTGCTGTCACAGGTCTGGGTCTTTGCCGGCAGCATGTTAGGGCCGGGGCTGTGAGAGTCGTTGGAAGAGGAAGGTGTGAGAAGCAGGTGGGCCCATGGATCTGGCTGTGAGCGGAGGGTGGGCTCTTGCCGTAGACCGTGACGCTGCGCCCTCTCCACAGCTGGCTTTGGGGGCATCCTGGGGCTGGGCAGCCTGGGCCTGGGCTCTGCCAACTTCATGGAGCTGCAGCAGCAGATGCAGAGACAGCTCATGTCCAACCCCGAGATGCTGTCCCAGATCATGGAGAACCCGCTGGTGCAGGATATGATGTCCAACCCCGACCTGATGCGTCACATGATCATGGCCAACCCCCAGATGCAGCAGCTGATGGAGCGCAACCCCGAGATCAGCCACATGCTCAACAACCCGGAGCTCATGAGGCAGGTGGGTTCCACGGGGGTGCCCCCCCATTTGTTTGTCTTTCCTTGGCCGCTGGGCTTTGAACCCTGGAGGTACAGTGATGAGAAGACACAGGCCTAACTCTTCAGAGAAAGCTCTTGGTTACTTTTCTCTTAGGCCTCCGAAGGGAAGTGGGGCCGTAAATAAGCAGGCGTGTTGCAGTGGGGTCGGTGTTATCCTAGGGAGCGTCCCAGGCTGCCCTGTGAGCAGAGACCAGGGCTGCTGACCCTGCTCTGAGGCTTGGGGGAGGCCTGAGAGAAGGGGTCACCAAGCTGAGACCCAAAGGAAGAAGGAGAGGAAGAGTATGGGGGCCCAAGGGCAGCTCGTGGGAAGGCCTGGGAGTGACAGGTGGCTGGGCTGGCCCAGTGGGGACGGGAGACCCGGGAGGCTGTTGTGGCGTCGGGCTAGGGGAGCTCTGGCGCGTGGTCCAGTCTACCAGGGGCCAGGGATAGAGCACCCAGCAGAACTGCGGACAGCAGGGTGGGACTTGGCAGAAAGGAACTCGGACACGAGCGAGTGTTCTCAGGTGTTTTGTCCGCCGTCTGGTCACGGGATAGAGACTTAGTGAATGAGAGGACAGGAGTTGCGAGTCCTGTGAGGCTGGCTACAGGTGACTGTCACGGCTTCTTAGGAGAGGTGTGTGGAACAAGTTTGAGAAGGAGGAACGGGAAGGAAGGCTGAGCTGGATGGGGACAAGAACCCTAACCCTAACCCTAACCCTTATTTGCCCTGTGCCAAATGCCCCTGTAGTTGACCCAGCCTTAGTGAATGGGAGCCACTGGCCGCAGAGAAGAAGGGTTCTGTCCTGCCGAAGGCCTGGCCGTGGGGGTTAGAGGGTGACGGTAGCAGTATGCCAGCCCCAATCTTCTCTCCTCGATTTATGATCATTTACCAGGAGTCACAGTAGGGCCTGGATCAGACAGACGGACCTGACCTTGAAAGCTGTCCCCACCCCCACCAGGCCCTGTGTCCTGGGGCAGCACTCAGCCTGTTTGCTCACTTGTCCGATAGGGACAGAGATACCCATCTGGGGTGCTTAGGTGACTTGAATTCCACAGATTC